AACTCTGAAGCTACTTCCTGTCGAGCCCCCTTCCATTAGCTTCTGTAAGTCAATACAATCTGTTCTTAATGCGTCTTTCATCAGTATTTTACTGTGTGCTGCCCACATTCACATCTAAATGAGTACCTTGTTAGCAGACAAAGAACTACAGCACCTGCAAAGTTTTTCCAGGTGATGTTTACCCGTGACATCCATCAACCCTCTTCTAATGTAATCTTTCTAAATTATCTCTGCTGTCTAACAACGTCTCCCTGTCCATTCTCTCAGCCTGTCACACGCCTCAGTCTGTCGAGCTGCTGATGTCTCACCTGCGAAGGTTTAGGGCTGCTAGAATATAAGAAAATGGTACTACATAGTCTTCAGATATGCAGAGTGGCTCTACGGATGGCTCTGTTGGCTCATTGTCCCCAGCGTTGAATAATGACCTGGTTTTTCCCCTAGTGCCACCATAATCATGACTTAAAGTGAAATATCTCAACAACTGTTGGCTGGATTGTGATGACATTTTGTTCAGACTTTCACGTTCCCTTCAGGATAACTGTAATAACTTTGGTTTATGACCAAATACCTGTAAAACTAATGACATCGGGCTCAGCTTTACTTCTGCTAATCAGCACACAGACGAGTACCGATGCTCCGAACTAAGACCGGATACATTATACCTGCTATTAGACATCATCATCAGCGTGCTGCTTTTAAGGTCAAAGCACTGCTGTACCAAAGTAAAACCATCACAGAGCTGCTAAAAGGCAAATAAGTCTGGCATCGGGACAAATTATTCTCAAGCTGTTACATGGCAGTCAAATGATTTCAAATCCTTAAATAGGCTACTCATGTGCACCTTTAGCTCGGTAGAGTGCGGGACTCCCGTTGGGAGAGTTGTATGATCGATCCCAACATCCAGTGGACTTTCTTTTTCTCCCTTGTTAAACAAATTGATTATACACTTTTGCACATGCTCAGAATAAAGAACGTGCTGCAGTGTGTGTGCGTCTCCTGCCGTTTGCTCCGCACTCATGGACGCTTATTTTCATCCATGAGAAATTCTGGGGAATCCAATCACAAGTTTACTGATGGCTTTTTCAGAGGTGTGTCAATCAAGCCAGACACTCTTTGAATTTCAGAACTTTTCAAAGTAAAAGCTCTCAATAAACTCACATGAAGCATTGCTGCAAAAAATTTCTCACGCTTTTATTTTGTAGGCTCAATCACTAAAGAGGAAGTGATTATGTGAGTAAGTGTTGTGTCATGACTGAGATCTATTTCAGCCCCAGCCGCTATCAATTTTTTTTTTTTTTTTCTGCTTTCAAAGCCGGTTCTGGCCCGCGGGCCGCCTATTGCCGCCCGCTGCTGGACTCTTACTTTACACATTCAAACTCAAAACACTGGAGAGCAAAATGCAGAATTTGAGCAATGTGAATAGTTTTGGCAGTTAGACCCCATTGTAAGGATGTGGCATTAGAGGGGGTGGTGAAGCTGTCGAGGTGTAGAAACCCTCCCGATGGGGAATAGACACTATTCATTCTGAACAGGACCTGGCATTGCAGCCCAATGACGCCCGCAGAGGAACGCAGATTTAAAAGGCACCCGGCAGCGCTGCAGGGGAAAATGTCACACTCCCTCCCAGACTGTTTGATTGACAGGGGATTTCTAGGAAGTGAAGCCCACAAACATCACAGCGGTCAGCACCTGGTAACAAAGACAGAGTCACAACAATGTGTCTCAAAGTGTTTCTGAGAGCTTCCTCTGCTCTTTATCTCTAATTGAAGTGTTTTCCTAACAAAGTAAATAATCAAATTATCGATGGGTAATTGTCACTGAAAGCCGTGTGTCTGTCCTTGGCCTCCAGGGAGAGCTTTTTGAGGTAGTTTTGAAGCAGCTCTCGCTGGTCTCTGCTTGCTCTCTAATTCAGTAATTATGTTGAGGGATCACAGGGTTGTTTCATTAAAAATACTCCACAGTGGAGCGCAGAAATGGAAAAGGACTGCAGAGTACTTTGAGATTAAAATGTCTGCTCCACATCTATTATTCTAAAAGGATATCTCATCATTATCTCACTGTGCAAGTCCCTGCATGCCTCTGAATACATTGTTATTTTTGTAATTTCTCTTAATGTGGGTTTTTATATTATTGGTCCTGGGTCCACAGCATGAAAACTAGATTTATTTTGTGGTTTCATAGGAGTTTTTTTTTTTTTAAAACACTGGGTCATTACTTCTATGGTGTATTATCTTTTCTGTGGATTTTGAGTTGAAGAACTTTAAGATGTCAGGCTGGTAGGGAGTCCCAGCTGTTTAACCTCTGTGGGGTCATTATCAAGGTCAAGTACACCGCTTGGTTCGTCAGTGCTCCTGACTTTTGTAACTATATAGGGCTTAGGGGAAAAAATCTACTTGCTTCCAGATATTGCGATTACGATGTCATTTTGCGAACTAATGTTCAATATTCACTGTCAGTCTGTTTTGACGGAAGCCGCATCAAGCAGCACAGAGCAGATGAACCGGGCAGGAAGTCAGAAACAGAACGGCATAGAGAATTCGGACAATTTTCAAAATAAAACACCCACACTGTGGACACTCCTGATGGTATATCAACGAGAAACACAGTTAAAACAGAAAAAGAAAACATTTAACTTCGTAGCCTACTTAACTGTGGTAAAAGTACAAAAATCAAGAAAAACAGAACAAATCAACAAAAGCTGAACAAGTCCGCAAAATCAGGCAGGCAAAACACTCTTATTCTGAAATTTGAAAATTTTGATTTTAAAATGATTAATGTTCAGCCCTAGTTTTAAACACAGTCGTTATGTTGTTAGAGTCACCTGAGGCCATATTCTGATATCTTAAATAAAGATAGCATAATATAGTATTTCAACATCTCCTTACAGCACACATGGAGCAAGTAGTGGTGCAATATAAAATGATTCTGTAGCGGGAGCATTATTTGATAGGGGATATTAGAATACGCTACCCATGAAATGATGTTATAATATAATTTAAATTAAAAGCATATATCGTCACAAAAAATTATTGTTGGCCATCATAAACATGAAGCATTACGTTTAAGTAAAATGTAACTGAAATACATGCAATCAAAAGTTTATTTATTCAAATCATTACACACAACGTAAATATGCTTCACTAAATGTGAGGGCGGTTCAAAGCCTTTCTGTGTGGAGTTTGCATGTTCTCCCCGTGTCCGCGTGGGTTCTCTCCGCGTGCTCCGGCTTCCTCCCGCCATCCAAAGACATGCGGGATGTACGCAGAATAAGCGGTTGGCGATGGATGGATGGATAAACTAAATGTAAACACATGGAGTAAAGTTTAAAGAATGAGTTTTGGTCATCATAATTATGAAGTGATATTTTATGCAGTGCTTGAAGTACGCAGCACCGGCACCTCCACATTTTACTCTTTTGCGTACCGGGACATTTTCTTGCGTACCGGGACTGCCGGTCACTTGTCGTGAACCGACCAATCGCAGCCTGGATGAGGCGGGACATTTAAAAATATTGACAGAGAGGTGTCATTTACACTGGGGAGGTCAGAATCAACGGGGTGCACAGACGGTTCCATGTAGGCCCAAAAATGACGTCAAAACCCTGCGACATCCCGTCGCACGTGAGAGATGTAACCGTGTTGCTTAGATTATAAACTTTCAGTGAATCTAAAGCAGCTATTCGGCGATCAGTGACGCTGCGTTGGTGTTTGGCAGGTGAACCTCGTAAGTGGGCTGATTAAACAGTGACGATCCGAATCAGACAAACACACCAGCCATGAGACTTTTTGTTGGTTCAGCTCTGCAGCTACCAGAATCACCGTGTTTCTGCCGTTGCTTTACGTCATTAAACCACGGTTACGCTGCGCGATCATGCGCAGTAGATGTATTTCATTGGTCCAAAACTGGCTTCGCTGCTGTCTTTATTCAAATCAGCGGGGTGGCTTCGTCCAGCAATACACTGTGTATGGTCAGAATCACTTTTTAATAGCTTTTATTAAAAATGTTGACAAACAGCAACAAGAAATGCTGAATATCAAATGAAACAGTTCACAACAGGTGCTGGCACCTATTTCTTTCCACTTCAAGCACTGATTTTATATAAAATGTAACTACAACTTTAAATATCAAGTGTATGTAGTTAAAATGATTAAACACAACGTAAATATGTTTAATATAAAGTTAATGTAAAAAAAATCTAATAAACTTTATTAGATAAAATGTGCAACAGTAGAAGGAAACGTCATTTTGCCTGTATTCTTTTGACAGAGCTGGACAACAAGGACGTGTTTTCTGAGGTAAGTCCAGTCGTTTTTTTTTTGTTGTTACGGTGTAGAAATGTCATTTAAGAAACACATCCATTTAAATGTTTCATGTTTTACAAAGACCACTATTTCTTGGAAAATGCCAGTGAAGGCGCCGTGTTTTGCTAACGATAGCCTGTAAAACACTTGTACCTAGCATACAGTCTGCTGGAGCAGCTTCAGCCGTTAGCACTAAGCAGCCACGTGTGTCCGACTGTGGGTGACGGAGCTTGTGAATGGATGTGTGATGTTAGTTTTTGCTCGTTCAACCACAGCAGCATCATGCAGATGGAGGGCGCAGACTGGACTTCACACCTGTTGGTGCGTCTCCAGAACTCCGGACCGCTATAAAAAAACATCACAGGGACAGCATTACGTCTTTCTTTGTAAAAAGGCAAACATGGCTTAATGATGGAGATTCAGCTACTTTAGTTCTTTTATATAAGAAACATATTTTTGCTTGCACCTTTTCCAAGCAACCTCATAATCAAAGTATGCGCATATGGCATTGATTCAGCCTGTATTAGGTACCATATTCTCAGGTAAACCATATTACTCTGCTGCTTCATCTGTTTCAATGAAAAGTCAAGTCTTTGACTAAACTCAAATTAATCATCAGTTCTGCTCCACTGAATAGAGTTTATTTCTGTTTACCATTTTTAAATTGTTTTTTATATTAATGTATACTGTGTGCTACGTAGCAGAACAGAGTTACAGACTCTCAGAATCTGTTGTAATGTGACAAAGAAATCTACCTTGGACCTTTTGGTCATGTCACATACAATCACCAGTCAAACAAAGAATTATATTTAACATAATGTAAATGTTAAGAATTTTTGCATAAGTTCTAATCTGAAGCTACAGTAACGGTTAACTTCTTACTTTTGAGCTCAAGAGGGACCGTGTCCTCAGAAGCCTGTGTGATTACCTCAATGAGGACAGCAGGACTCTCATCAAGTAGTACTTGGTTAGTAATCAGAATTGATTGTGAACTCTCAGTGTTAAACATGTAATGTTTTCTTTATTTCAAAATGGTCAATTTATGTTCCACCATTAGGATGTGAACAGTGAGGAAGCTAAGAGAGAGATCGCACAGAGCACCATGGGGCTCTATCTGATTTGCAGAAAAGGTGCTGATGAAGAGGACAAGCCAGCGGATGCTGGAGTGGTGGTCGAGGTTGTGGAACTGCTGAGAGAACTAGGAAGTATTTGCTTTGGTTGTGCCATGCTGTTTGGCCTGATCCACACACTCAGCCTGAACTATCCTCAAATGTAAATTTTAGTTCTACCAGAAGGTTTTAATGAACCCAAAGGTGCAAACATTAAAAATTAAGATGTTTCAGTGAGCTCTTGTGCTGGATAGCCACATTTAGGCTTAACAGACTTAACCATTGTTCATGTGGTTTAAAAACACAAACAGCGTAACGACTTATTGGTCTGATTATTTCTGGCATCTTCAATTGCCACTTTGTGTTAACTTGCTTATTTTGTTAAGATTGGAGTGTTATAGATATTGAACCTCTCTTGGACCAGTTCTGCGCTGAGATGGTATACTGTTATACTACATATACTTTTTCATGCAGGTATTAAGGCCTTTTGCCTTTTTCATGTTTCTCATGTCTGACTTGTTCCCATTCTGCAATAATATCTCTAAGACTGACACTTGACAATTTAATGTTTTACATTTTGCTGTAATCCAGGTCCCGTCTTAGAACTGTAAGATGTTCTTGGAGGGGGACGTATATATGTGTGTGTATTGTAGATTGTAAATGGAGAACAGCATTATCATTTTTTCCCTATGTGCTTGGAAGATGGAGGCCTGTGCATCACGCCGTCGGTCAGTCAGCAGTTAGGTCAGGAGGACCATGTCCAAATATGTAAACATGTAACTTGAGGTTGTATTGTTCAGACTATGTTATCATCATATTAGTGAGTATTTGATAAAAGGCTCTTTTGAATGGTAATCTATGTTTTTTTAAGATTATTTTATGTATTTTAAGTTACTATAGTAGAAATACTTATTCCAGTGCCTTATTTCTTTTCTTCTTTATTTTTTTTTAGCCTTTATAGTACAGTTAGGTTTATTATACACTGGAAAACCTTGTGCACTTTGTCATTAGCCGTTGTTTTTTTGCAATAACAGGTCTTGCTGCTGTAATGTTAAAATTACTATTGGCCATGGTTGTAATGATTATAATAGATCTGCCAATAACAGTTCTTGTACGTGTTGCTTTCTGATTTATTACAGGAAATAGAATAACTAAATTGAAATGTGTGAGTATAATACATATATAAACACATAATGTTTATATAGGAGTTTACATTAATTTAATTCAATCAAATCTGACAAAGTTATGTAATTTATTCAAACTGATTAACCATGATAGGAAAACATTGCATTACATGTGACCCTTTACGTTGAACTTATGTAATACAATTAGATGTAAAATTTACATGCAATTAAAATACATAATTAGTTTTTTGAGACAGGGGAGGAGGTTTGCGACACCACCTACAATGCTGTCCTTTCATCCCTTCCCAGGAGCTGGAACAAATGCTTACACTATTTATTCTGGACATTTACCATGGCCTTTTGGATTTACTTTGCCTTGTTTGGAATTACTTTGTCGGGTGACCTTGTTTGATGGACTGCTTCGTTGGGATTTGTTTGAACACTATTATAAGACTCAGCCTGCCCTGTTTGTGTCTTCTGCTGGGTCCAAAACCTTTTTTCATGAATCGTGTCTGTTTAATCCATTATATTAATCCTAGGAATGCAAAATTACTATAGCCATCACCATCCCTAGAATAAAGAATACATTAATTTATTGTAAACTCCATTGTTGGAAAGCTTTTGAATAAGAAAATGAAAATATTTTGGCATTTTGGTAAGATATCACATTGAGCAGTGGGGGGAGGCTTCGGCAGGATGCAGCGTGTGGGAGTAGTAACACAGTAAGTAAGACGGCAGGATCTTTATTGAGAGTAACCATGGCAACGGCTTCTGTGCACTATACAGCTGTAGCCTATTTAACTTAATTTAAAATGATAGGCTACATAACTTTACCTGATAGGCCTTCATCTAGTTTTGCAGGGACGCTCTGCCAATGTGACTTCCCTCCTGTTTATGTCCTCTTTGGTAACAGATTCTGGAAACTCTCAAACAGCGAGGACCAGTCTCTCTGCCAATGATTCGTGCTGCACATCTCATTCAAAAAGTTCAAGACAATTCAACTTCAGCGGCGGGCGGGCGTGTGCATGAGGCGAGCACAACCGTGACAGTTTAATGGGAATGCACCCGCTTGTCGCTACGCCGTGTGCTCTGAACATAGGCCCTAGACTGTTTCTGCTGCTTCCTGATAAAAGATGAATGTTTTTGCTGATACCTGCTCAGAAAAAAACCCAAGAAAACCGGTCTGATGGTTACTTTTTTTAACAAGCTATAGACAAAAGGTAACGCCCTGGCAGTGGCAAACAGCTTTGGTTTTATATTTTGATTTACAAGAAATATTTTATTGCTACTGTGTAAAGGGAAACACTGCTGGGAAAAAGCACCTTATTTGTTTAAAGTGTTTGCAAACCACATGTTATTGCACTTTGGTCTGTACAGCAGGACATTTAAATAAAAATACAATACAATGTGCAATACACTACTTTAGAATTCATTATTTAATGTTGCGCGTAACAATGCGATTAATCACAATTAAAGATTTTAATTGTTGCCCAGCACTAAAAAAAACAAAGAGGCTTTAAAGCAAAAAGGGGGGAGGAGTAAAAGGCATAATGTGTGTGTGTTGTAATATCCTATCCTTTTAACACACTGTTGACCGCTCTCCAAGAAGTTGTCAAAATAAAAATAGTCCATGGGACACAATGTTTGGGGTGCGTTTGTTATGGATTAAACTAAACTTTATTAACACATAGTCTAAAGACTTTGCCCTTCCAACGACAAAACAAAGATAAGACTCAAGTAACACTGAAATGAAATCAAACTGAGTATGTGCAATGTGAAATCAATCAGTCATACTTCTGAACTCTCTTTATGACAGCAGACAGCTGCTTAAGGCCCCGATCAGAATAATTAATAACGTTCATGTTAGCAGAAACTTGATCACAACTCACAGGTCTGAGACGAACGCAGGGCGCCTGCTGTGGCACTGTTTGAGGGCGAGAGGTGTACAAACACGCAGGAGACCGGGAAAGGTAGATCCTACATGACCCTCAGAAAGAGGAGACACTGCTGGTAGTAGCCCACCAGCTGGTCCAGTAGCTTCATCTTAATGATGGTCGGTTTAAGGCTTATTTGAGGATGAGTCGGGCCAGTTTGTTGCAGTCTCCGGACAATCCAAGCAACTATAAACATCCGTCAGTACAACTGTGTCTCTAAATTCATTCGATTGGACAATGGAAAAAATGCAAATGACATCGGGCGCTTTCTGCTAAGAGTTGTATTTTTTTCAAATCTGTGCGCTCAGAGCGCTCCTTCAAAAATGCGAGGCGCCCAGGGTGCATAAACAGTGTGCAGAAGACCAAACCAGAGCTAAAACCAAAGAGAATATTGGACTTAAATTCATTATTTGGACAGTCTGACTGGATCTTTAAATAGGCAATTCTTTGCTAACATGTTCCAAATAATACGTACGTACAGGGTTGAGTGTCTAATACTAATATTAGCAGCTTTAAAGCATCCGAAGCAACTACATTTGACCATAAACCTCTTCTGACAGGTATAGTGCTGAAAGTCTTCTCTCTCACACATGAATACTCACTGCTGTGCAGACTCCTGCTCTCTGGGTGTTAAGACAGTTTCTTTGAAGGCCATGTTAAGGAAACTTTTATATCTGATAAAGTCCCTCTCCTTCAGGCTGCAGGACTCCCAGCACAGCGCTGAGAGGCCCAGGGGAGCCGTGAAAACGTCCTCTTGTGAGAACCAAAAGGCATGAATATTACTAAAAGTGCTTAATGTTTAACCCCTCCACTGTAGCGCATCAATAGTGCAAAGCTTCTATTTCACTTTTTGCCGCTCCAGAGGAACGAGAAGTTGAGAGAGAGATCAGTGAGGAGCCTTGATGTAATTGGGTGATTTACTTTGCTCCCCGGGGGTTTCTATTCGTGAATCGATAAAATGGAGAAGGCTGTAAAATGGCAAAAGCTGAAAGAGCATCTGCAGGGAGTCATCAATCACGAGCTGAGCGTTGTGAAGCATTCTTAAGGACATCTAGGAAAGAAAGAAAGGAAGAGGAGGAGGTGGGCTTTAAAGGATGAACTGCTTTAATTCAGCTAGGGTCTTAGTTTCATAGTTTATCCATCGTTTGTATCAGTAGTAATAATAATAAGCAAGAACACAAGAGCAGAAGTGGAATGAATGGATTAAAGAGTGTGTTTATCTCCTCTAGCTAGCATAATTATTGCAAAAAGGGCAGTGTCAAAGTGAAGAACGGGAGAAGTCAACACTGCATCTGGTCCGGACCAAAGCAAGTGAACTAGTGGACTTTTCCTGGTCTGAATGCAGACTTGAGTGGTAAATCTGCCACTAGAGGTATGCTAAAACCCTGACAGGCGTAGTTACATGGGGATTTAGTGAACGGTCAATTAACCCAGAATTATCCTTTAAGGGAGGGCCAGTGAGAAACCGCCGTAGACCTACAGCTCTCTCATTTTTTCTGGTTTCCCTCTCGATCCTCTGTGATTCCTGCCGACATCCAGTCTTGCGACTGCTTCCAAATAATGTGAAAGGGTAAACCGGGCTGCGCAGCGCCTCTCGCCCATGGCCCTGCCCGGGTGGCAGGTTAATTATGTCTTATACCCACAGCCGGTTTGAGTGACAGCGTCAGGACCTGGTATGACATAGAGGGAAAGGGAGCTACTAATTATTTCATGAGCACTTGACGCTCAGAGTTCTCAGTCCTGCAGTCGTTTGGTAGGAGCGCTAGCTGCGGAGGGCATCTAAGGTTATGTGAGTAAGGAGTGAATGGATCTCCTCTGTAAAAATGTTATTTTCCTCGCTGCACCTTCAGGAGGGAGAGATAAGCAATAAGCCTTTGCTGTGAAGGTGAGAAGGGGATATTTCTGATTTACTTTGACATTCTTTCATCACACACTGGCCTCTTGTCAGGTTTGTCCTCTCTGAACTGCCAGAGCTGTATTTCAGGTAGGGGAGTTTTTTTAAGGGTGTTGCCAGTGGCTCGCTGCTCCAGCCTAATGAGCCATCTGGGCTTGTTGATGTACTTTGGCACCAAAGTCACACATGTCCTAGGAGGGCTGTCACGAGCCCGCATGGCCTCAAACCCAATAAAATGCATGCTGGGTGAAACGGTTAATAATGCTGCTACTGCGACATGCCTACATGTGCCCCCTCTGCAGTGCAGGTTTGACAATAAATGAAAAGAACAGATTTGCTGCATGTAACACACAAATCCCCCTGTAGGATTACTGAGGTTATGTGCACAAACAGACCTTGTAAACAGCACTGGGCTGCTGCATTCAGAGCGGACACACTCTTGCTTTGCTTCACGTGAATATCCTAACCTAAATCTTTTACTTTTGCTCACAAACAAAACTGAACAAATCTTGCCTACTGAGCTCACGTCCTCCAAACCCAACCACAAAACAGGCTGTCACTGCCTTCTAAACTGACCCATATGACTGGTGCAAACATGATTCCTCTGTGGTTAAGGTTTAGTTAACTGTAGGCACAGAAACTACATGGCTAAGAGAAGGAAAGGATTGTGGCCAGTTAAAAGAAACCGACTTTGACCACTGGTAGAAGACGGAGGTGAGAACACTGCATCTGCATCAGGGCATTTTACAGGTTCTTTACAGAGAGCAGCTTCGAATGTGTATATTTACGCATAGCTCACAAAGAAATGACTACGATTATGAGAATTATTAGACTGCAAACTGGCCTCACTCACATGCTGATGCATAATACATGTTAAAGATATATCGATTATACAGATTGCTTATTATGAGATGGATTTAGTTTAACTTCTGAAATTGTGCTAAAATCACATCATAAGGTTTGCATACCAAACAGTTTATTGGACTTTAATGAGGCATGAACAGTCTAGCAAAACCAGGATAGATGCATTATGAAGCCTATATTTACGGTTTGCACAAATTTGCAGCTGCGGCACATTTCAATATGTAAGTAAATTTGAAACAAATTAATTAGTTTAATGTTTTAGATCTGTTAATTAAGAGGTCTGAGCCCCCAA